AACAATAGTAGTATTTCAGACATAAGAAAGGCAGTTTGTCATTTTAAAACCAATTGCAGCTGATTTTACAACAGTTCTATGTGCTTGACACCATGCAATGGAGACAAATGGGGTAAATGAAAAAACTAGTAGTAAAAATAGAGTAGATGTAGTAGAGTAAATGTCCACTAATCTGCTATTTTTATCCTATAAGTAGTATTGTAGCACATTGTAGCATTTTGTATGCATATGCATACACAGAACAAATGCAATAATCCAACAAATTCTAAAAATGACGCACTAAAATGAATGAAGCATTAGGTCATATTAATTTTAGCAAATAAAAAAGTATTTTATAGGTCTGTTTATATATTAGTTCTTTTTTTTTTTTCAATTTGTTTGTATTCCTCATAGATTGTCACACACACACACCCTACACCTAAACCTACCCCTCACAGGAAACTTTCTGCATTTTTAGATTTTCAAAAACCTTCATTATGATGATTTGATGTATGATTTATAAGCTTGTTTCCTCATGGAGACCTAAAAAATGTCCCCATAAGGTCAAAATTTACTGTCTATTTACATTTAATTTACAATTTAAAATTCATTGAAAAAAGTAGCCTAAGCCTACAATGACAAGAAGCAACGGTTAAATATGAGTTAAGTTGAATCAAATTGACTGTGAAAGTCGTTTCAACTGATTAAACGTATTAAACTGACTTAAAAAAATCATTTGTTGCCATGATTTTTGGATTATATTATAACCTGTAACATGTCTCTGCCGTTCCCAAATTAAGAATTAACAACAATTTCTATAGACCGCAGAGAAAGAGCGAGAACGTCTACCTCAGCAGCAACACATCTCGCATTCTCACATCTGTAGCGCTTAGTTTGATCTTTAACGTTAGGTCTTTCCTATTCTTGAAACAAAATTAATTCTTAAGGTTGATTCAATATTACTCTTAATGAACGTCAAGCACTATATAGGATAAATAACTATACAGGATTTACCCTATTATACTTTATCGACACGAATTGATAGGTGAAACAACAAACAGCCACCCACAAATAGTCTATAAAACACACACACACACAACATCAACAATGCTACAATGACAAAGTCGCTTATATTAAACATAAAACTTTTATGAACAGATAAGAACAAATAAGATCAGTGGCGTAGCGTCTGGTTATGCAGGGTATGCAGGTATATATGGTCCCGGGCAGTTTGGGGGCAAC